AGTTTGAAAGCAAAATTTGCTGTTAATTTGATATTGATATAAATCTCTGATATACAAGCTATGTGGTGTATTAAACTAATAGTGGATTAAGTGTATTATATTTCAATTTAATTCGATATATTCAAATTGTTTAATATTCGTAAATGAATTGTGACTACTGTAATATCTTTTTGTATTTGTTAGTCAAAGAAAAATATTTAATAAAAAATAAATTTATAAAATATTTTCTTAATTAAATATGTAGTTATCAATCATAAACCAAAAAAAGTAAACTAAAATTTGTAAAAGAAAAATGTGTATTAAAATTCTAATATTTGAATAAATTTTTTCAATAATTTAAATATATTCAATCAATTTATACAGCTAATTTATAAACTCTTAACTTGGTTTTGCCTTAATTTACTTCATAATTCAGTATAACGCGCATAATGGCGAAATAGTCTATTATATTGTCTGAGGTAACGCCTTCATCTACTTCTAATACTTTTACATTTTAATATTAAAATATTTTTATATAATTCCTACCAGTTTTATAGTATAATTTTTAAATTTAATGAAGATTAATTGTTGTCGTTCTGCGTTGATTTTACTTTTCAAACTCATTAATCTTTCGCTAAACATTTGTCAATAACCTTTTCGGGCTTGTTGATTATGGCTAGTATTGATAGAACAAAGACACTCGTGCCTAGATATACAGACGGATACATAAGACGAAGGCAAATCTATTTGAATACTGAAAACCCTTTTCGAACTGGTTTTAATAAAGTATTTTATGTGAGATTAATATAAAATTTAACATACCTAAGAAGACAAAAAAATCAACAGAAGCAGTAATGTGGTACATAAGTTAAGAGCTTACAGCGTTTTTGTCAAATTCGTATACAATAAAATACAGTATTAATAAATTTATTGGTTATAATTCTTAAAATATGATATTTTTTTGAAATACAAGAATGTAGTTTTAGTGCTTAAGTATTTTGGAATTAAGTGAGAGGAAATATTATTGTGCTATTAGTTTCAATATATATTGATAATACATAATATCATATGAAGAACTCATGCTGTTAAAGCTGTTCAATTACACAATATAGAAACTTAAGTATAACGAGGAATTCAGAAGCCAATTTAAGTCTTTATTTAACCATTGACGACTAATTTAGAAAATTCAAGTCATTAAAAAAAACAAGGAATATATATTGTCTGTGTTCATTTAGGCATTGACGACTACTTCAGAAAATGCCAATAAGAATTGCTTTTATATTCATTATTGTATGGAGTAAGAAAATAATTACATTCAAATAATTAAATAAAGTTCATTACTTTTTAATAACTTATTATGACTACATGTTTCAAATTAATATTAATCAAATTTTTGATTAAGTTTCAGATAGCTAAATAGATAAAGAACATCGCTGTGATGTTGTTCTTAATAGTGATAACTGTACTGAACGGTACAGACCCCTTGGTTCGCTCGGTACTGCATTCTGAACGCTTCCCGATTCTGTAACACAGCATGTCGTGATTGTATGAATTTTTTGCGATTAAGTTGATGTTAGGACCGTATAAGTATAAATTTTCTTTTTAGAGGCTTGATTCTTAAGTTAATAATATTTTATTAATAAATATTAACAATGTGGACAGTTGACTGATTCATATTTAGTACATGTTATCATTACCAAGAGAATGACTATACAAGAACATTGCATTAATTATAAATCAAACTCTTTGGTTTCACACACGCATACAGTCAATGTTCGATTGAGCTTCAATGTAAAATGTATTCTTTCAGAGAATTGATTTTTGAATTAGTAACCATGTTTCTAGCAGCCTAAATTTTAGTAATTGACAGCTGATTTATATACAGCGTGCTTTTTTCACATGAATAGACAAACACCAGAACACGAACCAATTAAAAAAGATGTTTTTGGAGCTTTGATAAGAGGAATACAAAATCTAGTTACAATGCTTTTGACAACTAGCACCTGATTTTTATTCAGTGCGTTTTATTTTTTTAACATGATATCAACCTACTTAGAAGTTAACATTTACAGAGTTATTGTCAGTATATGACCTAAGCTGCTCGATAAACTACAAGAAAATTTCACTTTTAGAGTGTTTCATCTGAGTTAGCTGTGGTTCATATATGCCGAAAAGTATACCTATTCCATCTATAATAGCAATTTAAAAATTTAAGTAAAATAATGAAATAGTTTTGATAACTATTTAATAGGATGTATTTCCAAATCATGCAATTACATAGAAGTTTCGATTTTTGTGCTTATATATTATATTAGTTTATAGAGATAAAATCACAAAAAATGTTAACTATTTCTTAAAGTTGTGGATGAACATTATATTTTTTATGCATTTAAATATTATATTAATAACGCCACACTTCATAACTCATGTTGAACTCATTTATATATGTAGAAAATTGAGCGAAAGTAAAAGTGCTGGCTAACAGCAATTTTCAAAAGCAGTCTCCAAAACAAGTAAAATTGCTGACAAACATCACTAAATATAGTACAAATTACTAACTAATGCTACTAAATATTGTGAAAATTACTAAATATGGTGAAAAGAAACAAAACATATAATGGAACAATGCTAACTAACATCACTAAATATATTGTAAAGTGCTCATAACAAAGTATTACTAAATATGCTGCAAAGTAGCAAAGAATTAAAGGGTGTACTAATGAATCGCGGTAGATTGAGAGCAGTACTATATTATAAATCTTGCAATTCTGAGAGTTCTCTTACATAGAAGCAATTATTTTATGAGAAATTTTAATAATTTTCTTTCAAAGAAACATGTTATGTTTGTAGAAAAAGAAAATATTTCTTATTACTACATATTTGTGAAATAAATTAAACTACGAATACGGAGATAAACATATACATTTTTTACAATGGTGTGAATGGCACTATAATAACTTATCAAATATAATTGCTTTATTTAATTATTTATGGCAATAGAATCCTAAAAAAGAATCCTGTGTTCAGCACAGGTGTTCTGTGTTCAGCACAGACATAAGTTTTTCTGTATCTATAAGCTGAATAATACTTAAGGTGTTATTAATTTGCCAGTACTATTTGTTATAATATCGAAAAATTAGTTCAGTAACGACTAAGTTATTTCGGTGTATCACCTAATTAAGATGATATCAGCATATATCGAATTCTTAACAAATAACAACTTCCTTCACATAACTAACATTCTTTAAAAAACTTTTTTTAAAGAAAATTACACTTTGTGAAAATCAGTAATATAATTTATTATCACAAAAATGACGCTTATTTAACAATAGATTAATTAAATTAGTAAAAGTTACCAATAAATTTTCATTTTTAGGTTAAAAATGTTTAAATACTTCCCTGTTAATAGAGTGAAAAATTTCGTTATAATATTTTGAAGCCATAAATTATGGTTTTAACAATAGAAATATTAGTCGAAAAAGAAAATTTTGATTTTAAACGTCTTCATTAATAATTAGGTTAAATATTTAGTAACTTTTCATGTCATCACTTTTTACATTTTTATTTAAATTTATTTAAAAAAAATTTTTTTATAAAAAATTTTCAAAAAAGAGCTCAGAATTCTTTGCATATATTATAGAGTTGTTATAATAAAGTATCTGACAGTCCGATTGTCGGCCCAATATATACGGAGCTGTCAACTCTTATCGCAATGTACTTAATCTTCATCTTTAATTGATTGCATAAAGGCAACTTGAACGAAAAATATTCAAAACAGAAAAAGAACACATGCATTTAAGTAAAAACAGCAGAAAACGCGTTAAAATTGATAACATTTCAAAAATAAATAAAAATTTAACAGATTAATGCATCGTTTAACGGTTATCCATAGAACAGCATTTAACACATAAGGCCAACTTTGCCAACTTCACTAACTTGGATAACTTGGCTAACTTGGCTAACTTGGCTAACTTTGCTAACTTGCCCAATTTAACAGAAACTGAAGTAAAAAAGTGCAACTGCAAAACTGAGAAGACGCAGTTCTTTTCAAACGTTTTAACTGCAGTGCAGCAGTTGCTTGAAATACGCACAGCAGGCAGTCACGTAACTGTTAACACTGATGCGTGGTGCTTTTGGCCATTTGGGCCAAAATATTTGGCATTCCAAAGTAATTTACTTCGCCTGCAGAACATACTGACGACTTCTAGATGGCAGCATTGATAAATGCTCCAACCACTACGACTGCAGCGAATAGCACGAAAAGTTGTATCTCGAATTGAGATACTGCATTCAGGAAGATCGAATCAAGCCAATGGAGTGAGTTTAACCAAAGAAAATAAAAATACTCACATTTGCATCTGCAAATTCAAAAAACAAATAAAAACAAAATGTATATGAAAAAGAATTTTGTGAATTAAATGATGAGCAATGGTTGTACGCCGTACGAGTAGTTTTCGAGAGCAGAGATTTTGCTGGAGGGGGGTTGGCAATTATGTGCGAATCAAAAGATTGCTCCAAAATCGTTTAATTATGGTGATGCATTTGGTGCATAAGTGCACATAATGAAAGGATTGCCATTTGAATGTCTAACTAGTAATTGCAATTTGGAATTGCATCAATCTGCTGCTCATAGCGGCGTGAAACTAAGCAGAAAATTAATTAAAATTGTTTCAACTCGCATTTGTACTTAATGTCCGTGCGTAGATACAAGTAACAACTTTTCAAACTTCAATCTTCCATCTTCAGTCTTCGATTTTTTGTTTTTGTTCGATTGTGTTTTTTTTTGTGCTCTTAGTTTCATAACGCTGCACTGATTTCAATGATTGATGTTCTGTTTGCTTGACTGCATGACGGAACGGTACCGGCCAAGTTGACAACGAATTTTACATATCTGCACCCAAAAAAAGACTACAAAAGCGAAAATAATTTTATGTTTTCCGTATTTTTGCTTGTCTTTCTGTCTGTTCTCTGGTGCATCAGGAAAACGCAATATAACTTATATTTAATTGTCAAATATTTACCGTAAGACTTCTGCCATACCAATGCCATGACTCAAGGATTTTCAGTTATAACACGTTGGATTATGTGCACTAATGCGGTCGATTCGGTTGCCTTAAACTCCATTAATCCGTTTGGAGTTAAATAATCCAAGTAAAGCTGCTGAAACTTCAGCAGTTCAAGTTTTAATGATGTTGCGAATTAAGTCTATAATGCGGATACAAAAATAAATTACTTTCCAAGACTAATTATGGTGAAAAGTTTATATTTTTCATGTTAAAATATAAGAATCAAATGTGAGTAAGATACGATTACATCCAAAAACACTGTTTAGTGGTTGATGTATCTTAAAGTAACACAAGATTATCAATTTATTTCATATAGTTTTCTTAAATTTAAAATATTTGCTATTATGTCGAAAAATAAAAATGCAGAAAGCAGGAAAAACATAGAAATGACAAGCAAAATGGAATAAAAAGCATGGGAAAAAAGATGTACACAAAAGGACAGACTATTAAGATTATTTTTATTTAATTATTATTTATTATTATTATTTTTAATTTATTATTATAAATTATTTAATTATTTAAAATTTCTCAGATTAATCATACCAAGGTTTTATTTTTTGCACCATTCTAACTAGCTTCAAGACCATTCTTTAAATAGAAGTTTAGGATTTGTCAAACTATCAAAGTGATTTTTAAACCCTTTACTTATATACGGTAGAATAATGAATAAATGAGACTTGGTTAGATTTATTTTGTATAAAGTTATAAAGAATTGGGGATAAATAAATTTTTAGCATTAAAAAAACTTAAGGCAATAGAACAATCTATCTATATAACTGCTATCTAGTTTGATAGCTATCGAACTATATATTATTTAGCTATCTAGTTAACTAACTGCTATCTAGTTAAATCTAACTGTAGCTATCTAAATAGGTAGCAATTAGCAATTTAAACGCTATCTAGCTATTTAGAACAGTATATCAGTATTTTTATAAAAACGTTGAAAAAATACATAAAATTGAAATAGGTATATATACACATGACTTTATAGTGAAGAAGATGTTATCGTGTGGAATCTTCAACATTTGAAACGGTGTTGGTCTATTTAAGACTTAACAATCAATTATGTCGCTTATGTTAATGCGTAACAGAAATAAAAAATTGAAAATTAAGCCATCAAATTTCAAATCAATCAATTTCAGAAAACTTTAAAACTGAATTTGTAAAGTTTTCTGTGGAAATATTATTTGATAATAATAAAGTTAACCCAAAATATCAAATATCTATCAAAAAAGAGGATAATTTGATCTTCGTCATACATTCAAATACTATTAAAGTCACACACAATCACGCAATTCTCAAGTTAACTCATACATATATATATATATATACAATTAAATGAATAGAATGGAAAAATAGCATCAAAAATGAGTGAAAGTGCTAACTAATATCACTAAATGTGGTGCAAACTTGAAAAGAAAAATAAAGGGAATAATATTAGCACACACTACTAATATAATGAAAAGTACTGACAATTATAATTTCAGCTAATCACTTTAAAATCAGGAGAAAATTTCTATATATACAATCTTAGTAAATTAAGAAGAATAATGTTTTTTAAAACTTACTTTTCTGAACATCCTCTGGCATAGAAGATGTAAATACATATCAAATATCAATAAACTTTTTTATTGATATGTGTAGTATGTGTGTGAAAAGAGAAAACTATTTGTTATACTTTTTGGAATACTACTTCTAGGAATACTTCTTCAGTCATGTTAATTACTTAGACAAATCTGAAAAAACGTTTAATAAATGCAATGGTGAAAGGGTTTGAGTGTGCGCTTAAGTATAATGAATAGTATATCTTTATCGGACCTACGCCCTAGTTCCAATACCGAATGAATTAAAATCTAGAATTAAGTAGAGAACTAAATATTAGAATGTATGTCAAAATTCAACATTATTCTGGTGATAAATTATACTATACCGAAATTGTTCAGAAAAATTTGACATTACTATTGTAAAGCATGAAATATGTTTCTACTAGAAACATTATCTACGTTTAGATAAATAGCTTTGCAAATAATACCAATCTTCAGTTATTTGTAATTCTAAAATATTTCAAGCATTTCACTTCTTTACATAATTTTGTAGATACCTATTGTTACCTATATTTTCTTCATTCATGTATGTTATATCCACTAGCTCCCTTTATTCGGTATACTCTCAATATAAAGAGATACCTATACCCATCTTCACTGCAAATTCTTTTGTTAAATACTTCGCTGCTATATTTTTAATACATTTATCATTGGATAAACATTTGTTCAAATTAAAAAAAAATTTTTTTCGTTTTGTTATTTATTTTTCATATATGTTATTAATTGTTTTATACATGCTCAACCAGAAGCTACGTATCAGCTTGTTTACATTTTGCCAAAAATCCTAAAGACAAACACAAACAAGATAAGATCAAGAATAATTGATAGTGAACATGAAATACATAACTTAAAAATTTCATACTTTAGATACATTCTCCATATGTGCTGTGGGCAGCTATGAGTTGCGCGTATGGATTGTATAGAGAAAGTTGTTGGGATTGCGTTGTCTAAACTCATTTATTATTTAACATGAAATTTTTAAGTTTTTTTTTTTAATATAAATCTTTATTAAATTATTCTTTTAGTTATAATAAGAAATTTCTAAATAAATTCTTCTTATATTGGCATCTTCGCACAATACACAAGATAACAAATTCTTGATATAAATAACAAATAAATTAAAATATAGTTTTTCAAATTAATTACTACTGAAATTACGGTTTACTAATTAAAAAAATAATTATTTTTGAATTTTAATAAATTAATATTTTTTAAACTTTTAACGCGTGGTTAGTTAGCTTTCTTCTGTCTACAAATATTGTTGTAGGCGTGCATTTCATTAAATATGTTAATAAATCTTATAATTTTTATTTTAGTTTTATTTTATTATTAATTTTTTTTTGTTGTAATTTATGAAGGTAATTATTTACGACATGTTTCACTTGTTCTAATTTCTTAATACCTTTTTAGATTGAAATTCTTGCAGTGTGTGTCCATTAAATTATTGGATTTCTGTTATTAATGAGAGAGCAGCTTAAAACTCAGCATGGCGTCTAATTAACTCTGAAGTATCATTGGAGATGTTGCAATAATATTTTAATAATATTATCAATTTAAAGCTATATACTGTATATATACAGTATATTTCCTGCTGTCATTCTAGTGCGTATTATTTAAGTCGACGCTTAAGAACTTTGCTAGCTACCTGCAAGACTTTAAAGACTTTAAAGGCGGTGCGTGTTCATTTTATATTAGAGTTTTCTGGCTTTTTTAATTTATTATTTTTATTTAGATTTTTTGTACTAAATATTAATATTTTTGTTCATAAATCATTTTAAAATAGGTCAGCATGCACAGTACCAAGCTGTATTGTTAGAAATTGTTCGTTTTAAACAGTTTAGTATACGTATAGACATTATTTTTTCAAAGTTTCGTTTGCTGCTATTTTCTTTTATTTTTTCTTCTTATATTTTAATTTAAAACTCGTAATATCAATAACTATGTTTCCACAACAACATTTAAGAGATACAGTGTAATCGATACCTCAAGCATTCACTTTTTTGTCTTATTTCACCTCTGCAGGTTTCGAACTCATTCAGGCATTTTGAGGTTTTGACGCCATAAAAACACTTTAAAGCTAATTAAGTTTAATTATAGCTGCTGAAACGTTCACTTTGTCATCAGTTATCGAATTACAGCCCAACTGTTCAGTAGGGTAATTAAATCAAACAACCTAATTGTTACCGAACACTACAGCAGACCAGAAAGTGAAGTCTATTTAAGCGCAATTTTTAACTGTTCAATTGAGTAATGAAAAAAGAGCAGTAAAACTTCTATTTTATTTGAAACTGAACATTAAAAGTATTATTAGCTTTGAAATTTCTACATTATGTGAACATAATTTTGTTAATAAAATGTTCCAAATTACTTTCTATCACATGAAATGGCCAAATACAAATTTTATTTTATTACAATTTAGCTTAGATACATTGCAGTCGGTGAATAGTACAAAAGACTCAAGTAATAAACTTGCTTTGTTCTGATTATTATTTAATTTCATACTATTGATTTATAATTTATTCGTAAAGTATTTTTTTTTTTTTTTAAATAATTGACTTTATTTACTTTTTCTAAGATAATTTCATTTTCTCTCACTTCTAGCGCGCTTGCATTTCATTAAATGAAAATGTAATCTTGATAATATTTCACTTTACATTTAAAGTATATTAAATTTATAAAAAAAATCATTTAAAAAATGTATGTTTATTTTAGTAACAGCTTAGCATATTTTTAACTATCTATTGTCTGCATTTCACTGAGATTACTTACAATGCCAAAATATCTTATGTCAGTGAAAATAGGACAAAAAAACTTAATTACTGTAAAATTCATACCAAACACTTTTCGTTTAAGACTTAAGAATGCAGTATATAAAAGTAACTTTAACTACTTTTTTGAAACCAATTATATCTAACTAATTGCATTCATTCTAAAAGTGTTATTCAAATCTTAAGTACTCTTTTGTAGAAAGTATTTTGTAGATTGTTAGACCGCCTAAGAATGGGTAATGTTTTTTTCCTAATGCATTTTAAAAGTTTCCAATATTTCCATTTCTTTCTAGAGACTTTTGTAAATTTTTTACAAAATTTCATAAAAGGAAGAGCTTCAGAAATATCTGGAAAAAAAAATATAATAGGAAAATAGTGTACAAATTTATACGGCAACACGCGCAGCATCTTGGCCAACACCAACATTAGGCATTTGGAATTTGAAATTCGAAATGCAGGAAATGGTCACGTTTTCCAAGAGTGCAAATGCTATGACGTTTGCTTTTTGCCTTCAGACAATATTTTCATATTCAGGTTTAGTGGCAATATTTTTATTTATTTTTTTTCCAGACATTTTCTGATTATTTTTATTAAGCTCAATGAAAGCAGTGTATCCCAAACTCCATAAAATTATTACACTCAAAGTAAAAAGAAAGGCTTTGTTTAAAATTGAAAGAAATTTATAAGTTTTTAAGTATTTTTGGAAACTTTTTACGGAGTA